AATGGCCAGAACACAATCTGTATTTTAATGTTCTTAGGGCGATTAAATGAAACACAGTGTGACGCTGCGGCTTCGAGGTGAACATATTCATAATAATTTTAACTGAAAAATCTCATTGAGACAGTAAATACTTGGGAATCAGGAGACTAAGGTTGCAAGATATTAGAATTCATCTTATGGGTGTGTACATGTGAACTAAACTGGACTCACTTGTGGTCCAATGACCATATAGCTATATAACACAAACTGGATTAAAGACACGTTACTTCAGCATATGGATAATGGAACATGATCCTGATATCCCAAAACACTGCACAGGTATCCCTTGATTTAAGACAATTTGTTATATGAAAATTGACTGCAAGGAGAAAATTCATAAATCAAGAATGCTATTCCCATTACTTTACATGTAAAAGTCACATATTCATGAGTCTAACACAAATCCCCCCATATTTTTAACTTATGAATAAACATTAAAATATAACCAGTTTATTACTGAAAATGCAACTGCATTATTTTTCACATTTATTTTGTCATAGCTAATGCAATGTAATGATGCAGCTTTACTTTCTTTGGTTTAACATATCTTTACAGCCACTTTCACTTCTTTGGTGGCCATGGTGAGCAGAAATGTTCTTCTACTGCCACAATGACATGGAAACATGGGGGGGGGGATCAGTGTAAAACAAATTAAATGAAATAACACACTATGTGTTTCCATGTTAACTTATTACAGATATTTTTTATTTTTTAGCGTCTTCATTGTAAGTTAGCAAAACATTAAATACAAATAAAGTTGTATTAAAGATTCTGTGAATATTGGCATTAATTTGGCCAACCTATGGATGATGGTCCCTTAAAGCATCATAAAGGGGACTTCACTGCACACAACTTTTGAACTGCAATGTTGCCCACACAAGTTATAACATACCCTGGTTCAAGGACTGGGCCAAGAATAAACTGTAAGCATCATGAGTACACCCCATTCTGCATCATCATGAGCCATGCAGATGGACTGGTGAGATGGTCTATGCATGCGTTTGTCTATGCAAAACAACAAAAACAACAGCAACAGCAGCAGTAGCAACTTACAAGTTCACTGCAGCAAAAATTAAGTCTGTTAAGTAAAAACTAGGTGCAAATTAACATGTATTATTGTAGGGAAAATTCTTGTTTGTAAAACGATGAAAACCTGCTCTTCTAATTTGACCAGCATTTCACACAACCTGCTGTTTCAATAAGTCTGAAGATATGACTGTCACACAAATTCTGTAACTGGTAATTTCTTGAACAGTCAATCTTTATAGAATGCATGGGGACTTCATTACAGCATGGTAACATCTTATACCTTCAAAATGTGTTTATGTACATTGATAACCTACGTTATAATGGTGAGATGAGCCAAAGAGTGGGTTCAAGAAGAAACCAATGTGCTAACTTCATTCCCACATACAAGGTCTGACAAAAAAAAACCCACTGAGACAACCTATGAAAGCCAAGGTACCACAATGTACAGAATTGGGAAGTTAAGCCCCTTTTAAAGCTCACATACATCATCTGCTGCTCCTGCCAATGCTGCAAGAAACTTATATATCTACTCAAGTCATTTCACACTAAATCACACATTTGAGCTACCAATTCATTGCTTCAAGTACTTAAGGATCTCCGGCTTGGTTATTCTCAACAGTTACCTGTCCAGCGCTTTCTAAAAACTCACCCTTGGTTCCCTGCTGTATCTCCAAATGCTATTTGGATCAACCAATAATGTACTTCAGTCACACCCTTTCCAATCTTCCTACAAAACTTAACGTACACGAGTTTTGTACTTTATTATAATTGAACATATGACAAGAAAACACCCTACCTTTAAACACTGACAAGTGACCAGAGTAATTGAGGGGGCTATAAACATTCCTGGACATCTAGTTACACAACAGGACATGTTCATTGTAGCCACATTCCTCTGCAGTTGAGATCTGATACACGAACTTGATCAGACTTCATAAGCCTTTAAGGAACTCTGCTTCTGCACAGGGATATTTTGCATGAAACAGGTTACATTCAGAAATTTATAAAAACTGTACAATTTATTATCATTAATGGTACGAGATATATGTACAAAAATGAACACTTATTACACAGAGAGAAAGTTCTACAACACATTCGTCACTAAAATTAGTACAGGACTTAAACCTACAAACATACTGGCAAACACATTCATTTAATGAAATTTGAACATGGCGGTGGAAACAAAAAGCACACACCTGTTTTTAACAAGACATTTAAAAGGTGATGATTGTCTTTTGAGATCAATGACAATTCTTCTTATTACAAGTAAAAGAACACAGCTACAGTTTTATATACAGACGGTCACCACTGTTCTGAAAGCAGCATTCAGGATGACAGTAGAGAGGTTAAATGAGTTTGTAGATATGAAAAATCAGATTTAATATTTTCTTTACCCTTTCTGTTTTGTGCAATGTGGTCTTTGGTGTGTGTCACAGGTCTGTCGTTTAACTCATATGTACATGCTGGCTGCAGCTCTAATTTACAACATAAACAGCTGAATAAAATATGTACTCATGTCCACTAATATTTATGGATATGATTCCTAATTTGTACTGCATCACATTTTCCTCCTTGTTGAGGATATACCATCAGTTTTGTGTAATGCTAAGGTCTTACCATTTTGTGAACTATGTCCCATTAAATGTTACTTTTCAGAACAAACTGTCATACTTCATAAACCTGCACAACTTTCAGTCATTTATATCTTCTTGAAGTTTGATGAGCAAATAATCACATATTTGCCCAATCTTAATGTGTCTTTAATGTAAACAAAGTAAATGTGCCACTAAATTTGGAAAAGTTAAAACTTAAAATGACCAATTCAGAATCCATGAAGTGGGATAATGGAATGTATCCACACAGATCTCAACTGCTAAAACCTAATAGTAAAGGAAATATAGTAAAAGGTAAAGTTGTCCCTGAGCTTAACTAATTAAGTGCTACCCCATGAAGGCATATGGGGGAGCAGATGTATACACCCACGTTTTATTGACCTCAGCACTAGTCATAGGCAAGCTGTCAGCTTCACACCCTTGCCACTTCACCCCTGGGGAAAGAACCCCTAGTACCCATTGAATAAGAGAGTGGGTGGACCCCAGAGCCAATCTGTATGAGATCGAGAAGTGAAAATTCTTGATCCTACAAGGCCGCAAACTCCAACCCCTCAGTTATCTGGTATATAGCCAGTCACTATACAGATTACGCTATTCCAGCTCTTAGAGGAATTATAGTATACTGTACATAATTTGCACTTGGGAGGTAAAGGTGTGACCATTCAATGGCGTCAGGGTTAATATAAGTTAATTAAGATCAGTTAATTATAAGCTAGAAGTTTAAAGAAAGCAGATAGTAACATTTTTACATTCAGAAATTGACATAAGCTCATTCTTGCTGTGTGGACAGGATGTAGCATTTGCTATTTTCTCAAAATTTTAGCTGTTTTAGCTACAGTGGCATGCGTTTGGTTATCTGAAATTTTACAGTTTGGATGGTCAGGGGCCGAAGCCAAGTTAATCATACATCAGGTACATACATCACAACAAATCTATATCATTTGGAAATGTAAATTTCTAGTGGACTCCCAAATTTTGAACTGGGCAAGTCAAGCCTGTTTCAGGGAGGAGCTTCCTCTTGAAGTTTGGGCTTGAAGAAGTTTGCTACTTCAAAGAGTTCTTTTACCAAAAGTAGCAGTCTTCCAACTTCTAAAGTTTGTGGAAGCAAACCTGTGTCACACCTGAAAAGTTACAGTTACTGGAAGGCACCAATAATACAAAAATAACGATAGTATTCTGGTGTGGCTCTTTAAGTAAGTTAACTAAATAGCGGCCTCCGTAGTCTAGAGGCAATGTTCCCACTTCATGACTCGTAGTACGCGGGTTCAAATAACCGGCGGAGGTCGTCGAATTTTTAAGGGCGGAAAAATTCAGGGAACAAGTCCTCCGGGAGGGACTTTAAGCCGTGGGTCCCGTGTCATAGCTTTACGGCACGTAAAAGAACCTCATACCTCCAAAGGAGGTCACTGAGCAAAATTGCGGACGTTTGCCGCCCAACAGCAGTCACTAATACTTCCGGTAGATGGGGGAAGCATTATAGATACTTCTCAGCCAGTAGAGCCGGTCTCGCTGGCTGGGCGGGACTGATGGTAAGCACTAATACCGGTAGGATATAGAGACTGGTAGAAATCATAGAGGGAAGCATAATGGACCACTACAGGTCTAAGTGCATAGGGAAACCCACCCTCTCTAATAACTAACTAAGTTAACTAAATTATACCATTATAATCCAAAGTGAACAATAAATAACTTGGGTGAAGTTGTCATTGTGTTCATGCACAGTTTAACAGCATTAGTTTCTTCCTATTAATAACCTGAGACTAGAGATTACCTCTACATATACCTGAGCATACTGCCCAACTCAAATGACTCACGTGAGAAGACACCATCCCAACTCTAAGCTACACTCCCACACTTACTGGTGCCCAAAACAGCATAAATCCTACCTCCCCAAATACATCCCTGTTCAACGAGGAGGAGCAGAAGGACTAATGAGAACAATAACCAAAAAGAAGTCTGGAAGTAGCAGTGCAAGGTGAGCATCATTAAAGAGGAACAGATAAAACAGTGGCTGTCCAAAAGAGGGGCAGCCATGAAAAGTCAGCAAAGAGAAGCAGTTAAAAAAAAAAAAAGTAAAGCTATCCCTGTTAGAGACCATGAAGGCCCATAGGACTGTGAGATGTTGAGGGTCCCACATTATCTAGACAATCGGCTCAAAGATGGCGGTAAGGTTGTCAGCCTTATGCACTGGCCACACTTTACTCCCCAGAAAAATTATTTAATTCATTCCTGGTACTCATTTCTGTTGAGGCTGAGTCGACCCCACGACCATAGTGCGGCTGGAAGGATTAGGTCAGTTGAAAAAAAAATCCAATGACCTCATCGGGACTTGAACCCGCAATGTTCCGGGTTGTAGCATAGTGCCTCAATCAACTACACTACCGCATGCCCAAAGAGAAGCAGTAATAAAAATAGGTAAACTTACATTTGGGCTTAATTGGGCACCATGCCATGAAGACATGGGGAAAGGGAGGTATAGCTCCACTATTCTTGAACTTGGTACCAGACAGAGACGAGTGGTCATTTCACAGACCAACTGCTTTACCACTAGAGAGCCCACTGAACAGGAAGCTGGATGGGGCTCAGAACCAGTCTGGTTGTTATGGAGAACTGTCTCTTGCCACTGCTAAGAATCAACCCCCTTTCCAGCCACCAGGAAATGAACCCCAACTCCTTGATTGTTCTTGGGAGGTACTCAGTTCAAATCCTGGTTGGACCAACCACATTCATCTATGTCCTTCGTGCATACAGTATCTTAAAACCTGCTGCAAATGCTGCCATCTGCAACCCCATCCATAAATGATAGTTATCAGACCATGTTTCTGTCAGCACTGCAAGCATTTAGAAATTTATGGGGGGTTATAAAACTGATAAGTGCCCAAGCATACCTTTCAATTGAGGTTAGCTCAAGTGCTCCTCTAACTTACACACAGGAGGAACCTAGTTCAGAAAAAGACAATCATACCTGAAGTTTCTCTTTCTCTTAGTCCCTCATTGCTAATGCCATGTTGGTACTATGAAATATTCCACCAACATTTTCTAATGGCATTCACAATGAATGCAACAGTGTCATGAGGTATGCAATTAAACAAACCTTATGCATACAAGTGCACTTCCTACCTCCAACATTATGATTGTGTGTTATTGTTCAGGTCTCAGATCCTAGCAACAATGATATATATACACTACTTTCATAATTAATGTGATGCAGTACATGACTAGTGTAAGGGAACATCGTTCATAAAAGATATTTCTTTTCACGTGTTCTCGCATATTGATTGGCACCATAACCAAACTAACATTTTCACATATAGTCTCTTTCTAAGTGCCCAATTGGAACTAAGCATTTTTCGATAATATAAAACCACATGTTGGCGTTTTAAAGCTTCAGCACATTAGATTAAGAACTGGTTCCAATACCAACATGAGAAGAACTTATTATACCATCGTCACATTTCGTTTCTTTCTGTCTCCACTGCTGACTGAACTGAGCGATCCCTGAAGACTAGGGTTAAACGGGACCAGGGATCCATTTCTGTGATAACCACCATTTACAAATGTTCCTGGATGAACACCATATATGGGTCCGGATGTATATATCCCATTGTGCTGGGGGTTGAAAGATGGAAGTGGTGGCACAGGGGGAGGCAGCTGTGTCTGATTTCCTCCATTCCCAATGAGTTCTTCTCCAACTCCTCCATAGGGACTATGACGTCGTTCATGTTCATGCAGTAGCTGTGAAGCTGTCCAAGACTGGTATGGGCTGAGTGTTCGACCACGGACTAGCGTGCTGGTACCGTTTGATATGGTGCTGATACCACTGGCATTAGGGTTAGGTACGATATGTGGCGTTGCATGCTGCTGCTGCTGCTGCTGCTGCTGTTGCTGTTGCTGCAACATCTGTTCCTCTTGCTGAAGCTGTGCCACACTGAATCGTTTCTTCTCTTCACCAAGGCACTGATCAAACTGTGGCAGTCCATTTGGCTCCTGAGTCTGGGATGGAGATAGACTCAAACTGCTGTTACCATTGTTTGCTGATATAGGAGATGAAGGCACAATAGTTACAGCAGTGTTCTGTGATGTCACTTGTTGCTTTCTGTTACTGGAATGCTTCCCTTTACTTTCTGCTTTCTTATCAGAGTTCCCGTGGCGTCGCCGAAGAACACATAAGTAGCAGTACACAGCGATGCAAATTGTTAAAAGGGCCACTCCTCCAACAATAGGCAATATTAACTCCAACCCAAAGTCAGAGTCCTTGGCGATACGAGGAACAATAGTGTCATCGTCATCACCTTCATTAGAGTATGACGAAAGGTCATAAGTGGATGTTGGGGGTGTAGAAGGTGGTGGGGGTGGTGGCGGAGGTGATGGGACAAGAACACGAACCCAGTTTGAAATGGGACCACCAACAGAATTTTCAGAGCTATCTGTAAACCCACGAATAGAATAAAACAAGGGAATATCTAACAGTGATGGATTTCTTGTAAAGTCAAGGGTGAATGATGTTTCAGAACCAGGAGCTAATGGAAAAGGAGTACCATATTCCCAAGACATAGATATTTCAAAACGGTCAATGATATCAGTTATTGTTCGGGCATACCTAAGCTCATAACGAGCCACAGGTAAACCACCCATATCAGGAGCAGTCCATGTGAGGCGAGCTTTTAGGTCAGCAGCAAGTATCTCCACACGGAGATCACCAATACGACCCACGATGGGCTGTGATGATATATCATCATGTGACAAAGTGATAGAGATTGGAGGTAACACTCTCTGGAAGGGCGCAAGTGGTTGCACAGCTGGTGTTGGCACCACACTACCACAACACCGTACACCTAAAACATAACAGAAAACCATGTTTAGAAATGATGTGAGTGGTTAACTAGTATATTAATTCTAAATTTACATTAAATCTGACCATCAGATCCTCATGCAGTCTTGCACACACTTTTCAGAAATAATAAAGAACACAATCTTTCCTGTGGTTTCTGTAGTCTGCTGAGGATTCCCACAATCCTAATTTGGTTACAACTGGAAGATGGAAACCACACTAGTCTAAGCAGCAGTTTCAACTGATCAGATACAATACATTTAAACGTAAAGGTTTTGAAATGGAAGCAGTTCAGAGATCTGAATGCAAATAACAGAAATTAAAATCCTCATCCAATGTAGAGGAGTTTAACTCCACGTCCCCTGTATGCATTCATATAATGATATTAACACACAAATAAGTAACTTTGCCTTTTACCTTACCACACATTTAATGACAGTCACCAGTCACGCTACAGCTTTTCATGCATACGAACCAAATACTATAAGGTAAAAACATTTATAGAAATCAACATAACTTGCCATACATCTCTCTCTCTCTCAAGTATCTGTTATAATCAATAAAGATTGTATCTTTCTACATTTGCAGCATTGGGTCAATTTCAACAATTTCACTCGCAACACACCTGAGTCTGATGACGGTAGGGACAGTGTTTCTTGCCAGGAGTATGCGGTATTGCCATTGTCTGTAACTGTCACCTCAAATGTGTACACACCTGGTCCACCATGACCTACATTAAAGTAACGTGTGTACACTCCATCTCCCTTTGTAACATCAGGGTCTAAAATCAAAAGAAACATTATTAAGACATTAAATGTGGTGCATTATACAAAAGTCACAAGTTTCTACTACAGCTACTACACTACATGGTTCAGTTTGGCAGTCCACAATTATTCATCTTCTCAAGATATTCGTTACCAACAGTTCATCACCATGTTTGCAAAAGCCAATTACTGGAATAAATTACACTGACCTAGTTAAATTCAGTTCATATGTACAGGACCTATTTATCAAATATTACTGCAGCATTATCCTCACATTTACCTTCAGGACTACAAAACTCGTGTGTTCCCTTAACATTTTCAACCAATATATGAATGCACTTCCTGTTTCCACCCTGCACCTTTCCTGATTTCAGCACCAAGACAATAAATTATTATTATTATTATTATTATTATGTGTAAATTCTGAAGTTTGTCATTGAATAATTATCTGTTTCCCCATTACTTCAACTCGATTAGTTCCAAGAATTCAGTATCTTTCCACAATACAGTCAAAGCAAGTGCTTTATTCCCAGTGAGGGACAAAATCTCACATCTATATAAAAATAAATATGAAGCAATTTAATTTTAGATTTTTATTCTATGTTTGCAAGGATTTAGAGGAGTAATAAACCAGAAATGACTGAATTAGATGTTAGAATGCACTTCTGTACTTTCGTCAGCGCTGTGTGTTCTCATATATATATATATATATATACACACACATTAACATTCTCATGATCCTTAGATATTGTAGGCAAATCACATGACAAATGTTTACATTCATTAATCTGTGAAACTTTATGACAGTAGTTGATTCATAACATTATGTTGAAAATTATCAAAGTAGTAGCAACTGTAGTGGTAGAAGTAGCAGTGGTGGTGGCAGTGGCAGTGGTGGCAGCACTGGCACCACCCCTACCACCACTACAAATGCTAGTAAGATGAAGACAACTGCTAGCTCATCAATGATTGGTATCCTATTAAACCCACTCACCCCCACTGCCTGTGTCAAGTAGCTCAAACTTCTCCTTGTGCAGGCTGGAGCCATTGCTTGAAGGATGGATGGCTGTCACCTCCACTTTAGCACCAAGCACTGGATAGTCACCACGCTTCACCTGCAACAAAACCCACTCCCCTTAATGGGCTCACCTGAATGCAAAACATTTCAGTGGAAACATTTAGTAAGAGAGAATGAAAAATATGTAATGAGGCAGGGGCTGAAATTAGGCTTTGGATTTGGGGATTTTGGCAAAACAAATTATGTGACCATTCTTCCCCTACAAAGCACCACTGCAAACTTATTCCTGTTATTATCTGTCTCACATTCAACATGTTTTTTTTTAACCTTTAAAGTTTTAAACATTAAAATATCTACTGCGTCACTGATGTATGTACACTACACGTTATCTTGAGAAAAGTGCCAAGCAAGAGAAAATGAAGGAAGAAGATATAAATTTAAATCTCTCTGTATGCAATAAAAACCTAATGATGCTGTGTGCAATTACAATCGAAGAGAGCTGTCCATAATGTTGCAGGTAGTATCAATCCTGCTGGTTGGTGAATCTCCCAACAATAGCCTGTCATCAGCTGTCACAATTTCCAAGAAAAATGCATATTTAGAAGAGTTTCTTGATACCTTTCAAAATTGGAGTTATCACTGAACTTGGAGTATGCAGAAACCCTATTTATAACATAACATTACTATATATTGCTATTTTACCTCGGTGTAGAGGACCAATGGGGAAACTCCTTGGCTAGTCCAGGCATGAGCTCGGACAACAGGAGCTGTTGAAGACCTTGGAGTTGCCATCACCTGTACAAAGTGGGGCTGGGGATTCCCTGTAAAGCGCTCAATGGTGTATGTCCAGCTGCCCGTCTAGAAAACAATTGTAATCTAGTGAGTATATGTCTACAACATTCAAATGCCTCCATCTCCTTATGAGACATGGGGAGTACATAAATATAATTATATGTTATTACATACCCCAGATGTCTATCACAATAGGTCATATCATTAGACCTTACCTCAAGGTTATTATACCCAGCACATGTGCCAACAAACTTTTCTCTCCAATCCATTTGATATTATTTTACAACACATTTTCTCTCAGATGTTTTCCAATCAAAATGTTGTATTCACTTCTTGCTTCCCCAGACATACTACACATCTCATAAATCTTATTCTTCTTCTACGAAACTGCCAGAACAGTAAAGAGTAAAAATTTTGAAACTGCTCATATATAGCTTCCTCCATTCTACTGTTACTTCAGATTGTAAAGTATCAGGCTTAGAATCTTTCCTTCCCCTTTATATCAACCTTACTTTAAGCTGAAACATTTAACCACTTGTCTGAGGAGTTTTATCTGCTGTGTTGTGAACTACCCTGCATGAATCTATTGTAAACTAATATTATATTGTATGTGCATCATATTATCAAGATTCAGATCTGTTACAGACCAAAAACGCCCTTTCTTAGACCCTTCAAATTGCTAGGTGCCATTCCACCTGAACACATGCAATGGAGAAAAACTGGATTGCAAGTATGATTTTTATTGCATAAAAAATTATTGTAAATAAAAAAAAGCCTAGGCAATGCCCATCCAGCCTTCTGTAGCATATTCTTACGGCTGTATGTCTCTTGCATAGTGCTGCCATCTAGAGAATAGAATTCCAACTTGTTACAGTAGTTAAAATTCCAGCTCAGTAGATCATACCTAGGAGCTATATGTGATTGAAATCGGAATATTTAACGGTATGTAGTACCTACTATGTTATCATTCAAGCATGATGGAATGTACAAAAATTTAAGAATGGCCTAACCTCATTGATATTTGCAGAGAGTGTGAGCAGCCTGACAGCAACCAGAGAATCTGACTGAGCTGAGTAGACAACCTGGGACGGGCTTACAAGTGAGATGCCTCGTATCAGCGGATTCTCAATGTTGTGAGTGAAAACAGTGAACTGCGCAGGCTCGCCAAGTGACTCATCTAGCACAAAGCTTCCTGTCACACTGCTGCGTCCATCATCAGACAATTCTCGCCTGTGGATCTGGAAAGTTGATCACAGTGATATCAATAATGATGTGGTATTTAAACATATTCTATCATTACAAGAAAATTAGAGAATAAAAATGTACACAAAAGTATCAAGATGATCATACACATGTTAAAAGAAGCAACACAGAATGGCATTATATAGGCGTTTCCTATCCTCTTTCATATTTATGATGTCCCTGGCAAGAGTTTGCAGTTCTTCTCAACGACACCACTGTGTCATATGACTGGAGCTCATAACAATGCCATATCCAATGGCTACATGAGGTGGTCTGCAAAGTGTAAAGATGGCTGAAGAGTGTAGGTGATTATGCAACACCATTAAATACCAAGCTCCAGAATGTGCGGAGATGCACCTCCACACCCTGTACAAGCCACCATGGCTCTTGGGTAAAGAAATTTCTTTTCCTAGTCCAGACAGTTCTTGGGACATGATTAATTGCACCTTAGTTCCCAACTCAAAATACATAATCACCCCTTGGTGCCTGTATATGCCCTTAAGGAAAGAATTAAAGTGAATATGACTGTATTATCAACAACTGTTCTTAAATGAGGAACGTAAGCAGCAAGAATGTGTTAAGATTTTAATCTAGAAAAAGTGGTAAAGTTCCACCCCAATTAATATATTGATACTCTGTATATTTTGAACCCATCTCAAAGACATAATATGTCATACTGTAATTTTGATTGAAGCATTGGAATCCAAATTACCTATGTGTTATTCTGTCATCATACAGGCAGATAATTAGGAAAAATGAATTATAATAATATTTACACAGCCGTCTTCAATTGGTTTGAAAATAAATACAAGTCTTATTTTTAGGCCTGGTATGAGACAGGACGAAATATGGTAGGAAGTAGTGGACCAGTAGTTGAAGGTGAAGTGCAGGAGGGCGCATGACACATTTAACCAGTATTCTCAACTAAACTATAAACTGAATGTAATGATGTTGAGGTAATGTTCCAGACTCATAACTGGAGGTGTTCAGTTTGAATCTCAGCCAAGGCACCACCTACCCTGACTCATTTTGTTGTGGTTTTCCTCAGTCTCTCCATGCAAATCCCAGGATGGTACTTTGATTAGGCCAGGTTGCTTCCTTTCAAATCCTTCTCAAACTAAAATTCATTTGTCACCCTGTCACCTGATACTATTTAGTCTAGCTACTGGCAACATCATAAGATAAATAAAATTACTATATCCACACCACAATCCTTATTTCAGTTGACTTGACCAAATCCACTATGCAGTCTGTTGAGAATCACAAGTTCTACAAATGGAATGTACAGTAAGGCAAAAATTCTACAGAGCAGAGTTTTTCTTGGGAAACTAACTGTTTCTCAGCTGGTCAAGAAATTCCTGCATTTTATGGAATCTGAAGTTCATTATCATTACTGGATCTTATTCTAAATCAGAAGAGGTTGCAGTCCACATCATTACATCCTACTTGAGGTGAAATGCACAACATTCACTTCCATAATAAAGTGTAGCTAAGATTAATGCACAATACATTACTTTTAATTAGGTACCCCTGAACACATTATTAATGCATTATATTGTCAAACCTAGGTGACAATTGCATTCAAAGCCAGGAGAAAGAATAAAGTGAATAACATGAACACAGAGCGGGTAACTCGCATCTATCTTGCCTGCATATTTCCTTTCAAAGACAACTTAACATGATATAGCAAAATTTGCTGTACTAAAAGTTGCCAGACAAATTTAATTTTGGTGTGTATTAATTCGCTAACACCTCTATGTAACATTTAACAAATGGTTCATCATCTAAAATGACATGCAGTACAGATTTCATTATATTTAACTCGAATTTGTAATATTCTTCAGCACAGTATGAATGCATTAAAACACAGGAAAAGATAATTTATGACCATGGGGCATAATATTTGAGGTACCCATGAATTCTGAATCAGGAAATTGAAATCAAACACATGGAAGCATCAGACCTATGGCCATACCATGTTGAAAACACTGGTTCCCGTCTGATCACCGAAGTTAAGCAACATTGGGCATGGTTAGTACTTGGATGGGTGACGGGTCAACTCAGCTTCTTAACAGAAATGAGTATCAGGAATATTCTTGGGGGTAAAGGGCAGCCGGGGCGTAGGGCTGACAACTTTGCAGCCATCTATGAGTCGATTGTCTAGAAAATGTGGGAACCTCAACATCTCACAAACCTATGGGACTACACGGCCTGTTACAGGGATATCCTTACTTACTTTTTTACTTTACTCTATAAGCTTTTCTAAACAGACGATCAGAGATCAGATATTCTAAACAGATTTTTACCCTGTGATTTAAACTGGGGATCACGTGGCTGATATCTTAAACAAGGGGCTGTTGATCTGTGATCTTACAGATGGTCTGTGGTCTGCTNACACACTCTCCTTGAGAAGGTCACAGAAACCTCTTATTGACTCTCTAAAGGAATGGGAAAATTCTCTCCAAGGACAAAATGGTTGTTTCCTCTGAGATGACAATCCTCTCAAAACCCCATATTTCCTTATANTTAGCAAGAAACAAATATATAGACTGACCTGACAACCAAGACTGCAAAGAACACATGCACGTATCTACCACCATCTTGGTCAAGAAATCCAGTTCATAGGCGAAGTGACAGAGATCATGCTCCACCCTAATGTGAACCAGGAGGGGACACTCTCGTTGAGCAGGTCACAGAAACCTCTTATTGACTCTCTAAAGGTATGGGAAAGTTCTCTCCAAGAACAAAATGGCTATTTCCTCTGAGATGACAATCCTCTCAAAACCCCATATTTCCTTATATCCAAATTCTTCACCACAGGGGCCCTGCAAGGACTACTTTTTCTCACAATTTCATTTCCCTCCTGTAACAAATACACTGTGGTCCCACAAGGGCTTCCTTGAAACCAGCTTATACAATGCAAAACAATTCTTTACCGTAGAAACCTTACCCCTGAAGATGGAAGCAGCATGTTCCTCTGAAATGTTGCTATCCACCTGATCCAGAAGGCCTCAATCTGAACAGTCATTGCAATGAACACCACAGAACTTATAATAACTGGATACACCATTCCACTGCTCCACATGCTTACCTCCAATGGCATGCCTGCTAGGCTGCCCTGATAGAACTGTGTTGCAATGCTGAACATCACATTTGCCAGCTTAAAATATGTTGATACATATGAGGTGGCAATATTGTAGCGCTGCTCCTGCACTGTGTAGTATGGACCACCTGTAGCATGTGCTAGACGGTCAAGAGGGAGAGGACGGAGAATGGCCGGGTAGTTGATAGTAGCAATGCGGACACCCTCATCGACAGCCAGACTCAGTAATGGGTCTATCTCAATAGAGTGATCCATGCCAGGAGCTATCACCACTATAACGGAACTGGCAGGTCCCCTCATGAGATAACGTTCATGAAGCATCTAGGAAAACATAAGATTATAGAATGAAGGCCTTCCAAGGGAATACAATAATTTGTTTGATATAAAGTAAATATAAGCCATTGATCTATATAATAGGCATCATGATTTAATTACTCAGGCTGTATGACATTAAAAATACGCTTACTAGAATTCAGAATATACTATATGGCATCATATAGAGTACAGACATAGAAGAACAAGAAAATGAACTAGTTAAACTTTCAAAAGCAATTGATACATATACTCCTTCTCTGTGTAACAACATAAACCTAAGAGAGCTGAAGTTCTTACGTCAAGAGCCTGACGTATGCCGCAGTGAAGGCAAGCTGCATTATGGGAATCTCCTGGAGTAAACGGAATATTCCCAGAGACTTGACTCCTCACATGTGTACTGAGTGGAGACAGTGGCAGGAGACGATGTCCTGTTGTATCATTGCTGAGTACAAGTCCCACCTCTGTGTTTGCTGGAAGGTCATGACCTGCCCACTTGCGTATAGCCAATCGCAGGAAAGTCCATGATTCACGTATATGCATATCCTGTGTGCCTTCAATCACCAGCACATACCTTGTTAAAAGGCGTTTCTTGTAATGGAACACTGGTGTTGTGTTTGTCACCACAGATGAATCTTCAACACTGTGAAAGGAAACCCTTGTGTTCACACCACTGAACTGAATATTCTGTTATCAGTGAAAAGTCAAGAGTATAGGAATTTATTCTGATTTCAGATATAAATTGCTTTTCCTTTTGTTTCATTATATATACAGCATATTAAGGCATGCTCAATTCAAACCTGAAGATCCCACTGACACTCATACAACATTACAACCACCAAGTTCTTTGTGAAATGAAATGCTCTTGAGGAATATCTTTAAAAACCCCAGTACTAAATTTCAATTGAGTCCTCCTAAGTTTTGAAAGTGGATCATGTAGACTGACAAATTCTGCTAGCTGTAATATCACTTGTGAAAGCACAACCACATCTGTCCTTACTGGGCCTTTAAAGTTACTTTCTTCCCACCCCCCCAGTTTCTTGGGGTGGGGTGAGACTGAGTCTACTTGGTATATCAGCCATTGTCTGGCCTACTGTCCCAGCCCTAAGTGATAGATGATGAATGTGGAGCAGTCAGTGGAATGAGAATTGGCTGGGGAAAACAAAGTACTCAGTGAAAACCTGCCCAGTGCCACTATGTCCACCACAAATCCCACATGACCTGATCTGGGCTCAAACCCAGGCCACCACAGGGAGAAGCCAGTGACTAACTGCCTGAGCTATGGTACAGCCTCGCTGAGCTTTTAACTCAGAAGACATCTTGGAACTGCTATATTATTTGTGGCACAACATTTACAGTTAAACAATCTAAGTTACAAAGCCATTTAATTTTTTTCCAGTATGGCACATATTTCATTACAAAGAAAAACAGTATGCCTCTATACTGCATGTTGTCAGTACTGTCAATTACCTATTAACAATATATGTATTTCAGGAAAAAGGAACAAGGCCAATAACACACACAAAATCTCGAAGAACATATACAGAAACAAACCTAAAGCACATGTTTCTTCCCCCATTCCAAGACTTAATTGTAGTTCAGCAGGTGCATAAAAGCTTCCAAGACTTAAGTTCAGTATTTGCATACTTTTTCCTGCAGGTAAACTGTCACAATCCTAGCTGGAACAGTCACGGTTATACTTGCCTGTTGACAAAGTCTGTGTGCTGTATGATCACATCTGACATACTCCTCCGGTTGCAAATGAGGTTGTGTTTTGTTGGCGCATATCTGTTGTGGGTGCTTGCATCACAGAATCTATTCAGCTGGGGGGCCTCTGCAGTAAACATAATGGATGAGCTAGCATCAGGATGCACCAGTTCACTGAAGTTGTACCATGAACCTGGATTCTCACACATCCTAAACACACGATCAGTTACGCTGTATCACTTGAACAGACTACATAGCATCAAATGTGACAGGGGTGCACTGCTTTAATTTTCACTGCATAAGGAGAATGTTAAGCCTGTAGTATTATTTAATAGAGAAAAAATACATATATACTGTTGGCATAAGTCAGAACTGAAAAAAAAAACTTAAGCCTGTCTTATAGAGCATTTAAAATGTCAAGAAATGGAATAACCATGACAAATATTTGCATTTGCAACACTATGGCCACAGAGGTAGTTTCTCACCACTTGCAATCATCTCTTAACGTTATGGTGGAAGCCCTTGCATAAAGTTGCCACCTGTTAGAGGGGAATTGCGAACCAAAGAATGAGCCACAACAGGCAAAATAAATTATAATTCAGTACCTACAATTGCGCAACTTATAGGCAGAGTGGCATTATACTCTACCCTTTTATAGGCCTCCTGACTGCAGACTAGAAGAATGAATATGATTAACATCTAGATTTACCCAATATACCATATTACTTCAAACATAAAACATCCATTTTACACATGTTTCCTTATATTTCAGGTAATATAGTAATTGTTAATTAGTGTTATGGATACAGAGCCTGATGTGAAAATGTGTGGTATCGTGATGAAACAATCTGGTAGAAGCCTGCGAGCATTACACTTACATTACAGTAAAATGGGTTCAAAAGTTCGAGAATTTTTAGATTTTATGTGTCCTTGCTATGGGAACACTTACCCCATGTCCTGGATTGGAAGATCTGAACAGCCAGTGACTTGATTTTGGCCACGATCACCCCTGTAGCAAAGTGGGTAAACAGAATCAGACTGGTAGCCCACTTCATCAAACACACCATAGCGGTACTTTGCCCATTGCTGTACAAGTGAGCGACCTATAAACAAAAAATTGGTTTTCTAAATCCTTATTTCAACCAGTGACATGCCTCCTTTGATGACAGACTGTTATGTTAAAAAATACATCCAGATGGGATAACATCCCACAATCAAGTACCTGAATAAGAAAAAAACAAGATCTTGCATGGCTTGGCCATTGGCAACTGGGATTAGTAAAGTAAAGCTATCCCTGTAACAGGCCGTAAAGACCCATAGGGTTGTGAGACGCTGAGGATCTCACATTATCTAGACAGTCGGCTCAAAGATGGCGGTGAGGTTGTCAGCCTTACACACCCACTGCACTTTACTCCCCAGGAACAACTGCGATTACCATACAAAATAAATTATAATGCAACCCAGCTCAATGCAATCTTCACAGATATTCTTCGCAGTTTGTAAGTAGTGAGAAGAAAGTTATGCAAATAATTACCGATATTCTGCAGCTGTCTATAGCTGAGATGGATCTTGTCGCCAGGTTGCCCACATCCCTGAGACTGCTGTGTCCAGGGTGCGTTTCCGAACACGGGATGAGGCACGCCAATCAAAATATCCGCCTTCTCTCCACTCGCACCTACCACAGGGCGGGCTATGCAGTTTGAGGGCCAAGTATCAGGTAGCAGCACCGTCACAGACCGCCAGTATGCCCTGCCATCTAGTGCCTGATGTAGAAACTGCGACGCTTCAGTCATGGACAGCTGTTGGAATGAAAATGCGTGGAATTAAAGTTAAATTTTGGGCGATGAATAATCCCGAGAGACACCGTGATTGTGCTGGTCCCCACAGAATATTCATTATCCCGAAGGTCGTGCTGCAGGAAATGCAATATTCATGTACGAACTTAATATCAGTGAGGATGACCTCCTTCAGCGTCATGTGCAACTTTATTCCTTCGGGTGGACTGCAGAATATAAAATAAACTTTTTTAAAACTTTGTCGAAAAATCTGTTTTCATGACAATAATCAATCAAAGACGAAATAAGTAATCTTTTGGAAAGTGTAACACTGTAGCTGGGAGCCCTAGTCGTAGATGTCCCATCCCAATAAATGAGTGAGTATATGATTGTCTCAGATATACCGTCAAGTTCTGACGATATGGATGGGATTGAACTAGCTCACAACAGCGTCCAGTGGTGAGCATTTGTGAACACGATAATGAACTGTCAGGTTCAATACAGCAGGGAATTCGCTGATCTTTCTTGAACTGCTAAACGATCGAAAATGTTCAGAAACTCAACAATAAGTGTAATATACTGTCACGTAAGCAAGTGTGACTATAGACGGGGTTTGGATTGGTGATACGATTTATTGAACACTTATACAACTCGTTACAACACTTCACAAATAACTATAGCACACAGACTTGTATACTCGTCTGTTGCAGTCTCCACTAGTCATTTACTGATAACGGTTTCTAACAGTGGAGATTCTTCAGCTTACGCGCTCACTTCGTTGCCCGCTGGGAAAAAATCCACGATTCTGAACTCTTGCTCCAACTGACTCTCAGGGTGGCGGCAATCTCACGCCAAATTCCTACTGTTCCCATCACAGACTAACTTACTTCTAAACTTGTCTCGGTTACATTTCGGCGCGGGCAGCGCAGAAAACGCCGTTTCCAACATTTCCTCTATTGTTACGAGTGAATTCGTTACCATGGAACCTGTCTGTTTCGCGGTCCCCACCTAGTAACGAATCTACACGCTAGAAGTATCAACATAAATTTTTAGAAAAATAAGAAATATGCTAGATAAATATTACAGATGTCCGGCGAGCAGTTTATGAAAAATCTAATTACACATTCCTGTCTACATAACCTTCATGATAATCCTCGCTGTCTTTGTGTGTAATGAAAAAAGTACACAAGAGCGCTACACTCAAAACAGAAAGTATATGACGCTACTGATTAAGTAACTACTGAAGTCAGTACGGCGTGGTTAAGTATACAAGATGGCATTAAAATATTGCCACGTGAAGGGGAGAGTACGCGTGACGAAAATTACGGGTTCCCGATTTCATGATTGGGTTTATTGAACACCTCTTCAGAATTACAATCAATTATAGCGCTTTCACCAATCTTCACAATTCACTAGGACATGCTCCATTCTCGTCCTTGTACTCTCAACTATTCCTAGCTTCTGAATTTGCTTCTGTTATAACCATTTCGCACAGACAAAACGGGAAAAAGTCTGTATTGTTGATGAAATTTGTCTGCCGCGTCGTTGCTCAGCAATGGATTCCCTACTGTTGTCACGCGCTAAAGCGGGAAAGGTATTGCTAGCAATGAGTATCCACTTTACAATATTTGTATATTTCTGTGGCATTGCCGGTAAGCCTATTTTACACTATTCATCGGGCTATGTAAAAGTCGCCTGGGCTTTACAAGCAAGACAAATTTCAGAGGGCACCTTTATTGTCGGCATCCTGTGTCACAGTGTTTTTCCGCAACGGACGTCGTGACGTCCGTTGTAGAAATAAACAAGAGAGGCGAATGCTACCCTTTCTTCTGGCTCCACTGCAGACAAAAAACTACGCACCGCATTGTGCAACTGTGTGGTGTCCTCAGCAACGTCCGTCATAAAGTATGTTCGTTACAACGGACGCATTTTGTGTGCCAGTGTGGCCCCAGCGTAAGCCTAGACCCAAAATCTGTTCACAATAAGGGATGCATGGGAACTGTCAAAAATCAGTTTCCACTGACCGGCGCCTTTATTTCATATAGGCTCTATCAATTTCAACATGGGGATGTCCGCTCCCCCCCGCAGCATAAAAGAACCGACCGCTTCACCATCTAGTAGACACGTGTGTATGTGTATATTTATCGGCCGTCTGGTCCCTTCAGTGTACACTAATTGTGTCATGGTTTTATTTTCGAAAGCGAACACAGAGAAAGTACAAAGAATATATATATCAGGCTGAATCACCAACTCCTCCCATGTAATTTTCGCAGCAGTCGGGGACTGCTGTCTCCCTTGACGACAGCAGAAAACGAACGAAACTTCTTTTCGGCTCAGAAACAGCGTGTTCCGTAATCCGAGTTTGTGATACAAACGAGCTCACTGCTGCGTCTCGCAAGCTGAATTCACTTGTGCCCATGTAAATGTGAGGAGAAATTCTGTTCTGAAAATCACAGCTTGAAAGAGGTACTTCTCAGTACAAACAACAAAAACAAAACAAACTCCATGGTTTTAGCCCGCAAGCGGACTATAAGGACCGAGCGACTCCGCTTGTCGGCGAAGTTAGTGCCAAATTTAGCGGATAGAAGCTGTCGCGTGATCAGCGCATCGAATCCCCACGACCGTTAATTTCGGTTTTCTAAACCGGAGCCCATATTTCCTTGAAATAGCTCCTCAATTATCCTCACGAGGCTGAGTGGACCCCGTTCCAGACCCACTACTTAGAAAATCTGGTATCGCCGGGAATCGAACCCGTACCTCTGGATCTGTAGCCAAGAATTGTGACCACTGGACCACAGAGGCGGTCAGTATAGCAAGTACGAAATGTACATGTGAACATGAATCCCAAAACTTTGTTCCGTTATAAAACCGCAGAGCCTTCCGCTTTCTCGTGCAAATTAAATTAATGGAAGAATTTACAAGTAACGTGAATGTAAACTTCGTAATACAGGTCTACATAACAACAAACGCTCTAGTAACACAGCAGCAAGGACTCAGTACACCTGTTTCGAACTGCACTGGTTATACAAGGTGTAATGAACTGAGAAAATGGTCCTTGGTGAGTATGGATTTGGAAGGAAGAAGTGGTGGTGCATTTCAAAGTAATCTTTCAACAACCAAAAATTCAAAAGATGGGGTCGTGGGAAATAATTTAAAACCTCACACAGAAGAGATAGTAACCAGGCCAAGGTTAGGGCACCTTCTGGATACACATCTACAGCGTTACCGCTGCACTGACCTGCTCCATGAACATTTGTTGTAGCAGCTTCCTAATAGCCACAGTGCCGTTGCTCAGTAATTATACTTATAATGCTGCGTAATAACCTGGAGCAAAGAGATCAGTTCTTGCACAAACGAGAGCAATTATGGGGCACGCAATGTGCAGGCCTATATAAGAATGGGGAGCATGGACGTGCGCAGGGCGGGTTCACAGGGTTTGAAAGACCAAACTCCCCGCTCTTGTCCTGAATGGCAACTGGATTCTCAAGGGACACGAGAGTTTCTGAATGACGGGAACATCCCCCTGGGACAAGAACCATGAGAACTTTTTGTACGCAACTGGGTGGCATACGCTACAGGCGAACTACAGTGTACTTTCATAACGTGTTCGTTTTCAACGAAATATTTCTTCCATAGTGTTGGAAATTTGGAGGAAATTGCTACTCAAATGAGGGTATCAATTAACGACAGGCCGCGCCATAGCTCAAGCGGTTAGTCGCTGGCTTCCCACCGCGGCGTCACGGGTTTGATCCCGGGTCTGGTCAAGTGGGATTTGTGGTGGACAAAGTGGCGCTGGGGCAGGTTTTCTCTGAGTACTTCGGTTTCCCCTGTCAATCTTCATTCCACCAATTGCTCCACAATCACCCTCACCTATCATCTGGGGCTAGTACAATTGGCCAGAAGTGGCAGCAGTACAAGGGACTTAGTCCCACCTCACTAGCAATAAAAGAAAACAATTAATTATAATTATGAATCTCGGCTAACATAACAAGAAGGCTTCAAACCGAACGTCAACTTCAGCAAACCTCTTTAGCACTATTCTGTCATTATTGGGAGTTCAATGTTTTCTTTTTTACTTTTCCTTGTCAATTCCGACAAAGCTTAGTGCTTTAAAATAGCACCCCACCCTCTCCTTATGCAACCTTCCCAAATCATATTTCATAATATTTCGCACTCGACGCTAAGGTGTAACGTAAAGTACTTAATATAACGTCGTTAAATATAACTGCCATCAGACACTATTCTGAACCACACAGATGCAATCGATTCTCGAAAACGTTCTATAAAGACACAGTCCAGTAATGCTTCGGATTTGCCCAATTTCGGGTCGGAGATTTAAAATTGACGCTCAAACTTTCCGCCAGAAGGAAGAATCCTAAAAGCCGCTTAATCTACAATTAGGCCTGCATATCCGAGTGAAGTTAAAGGCTCGATTGTACAGTATATTTTTACGGAGGGTCATAGGATTCTAAGCGGCCACTTCACTGCCATGTAGGACTGGACGAGATAACTTTATTCCAGTAATTTCTTCTGCTTCTCAAGACGTCCTCTGATCTCCGTGCGCAACCCAGGCACCAGTGTTACCAGTATACAGAGTACAATGCAAGCTTTCATAAGTTCCGAGAACATTTCCTCCCGACGTGGATAAGTAACAGGGAAAACTTCAAAAGGATCAAAATACAACTTCGTTCACAAATACTGTTTACTAATGTTCGGCTTCANTAAAATGTGTTTTAGTAGCTCTTTTATTAACAATACTGTTTACTAATGTTCGGCTTCAGGCTCCAGCCAGTTCCCTCGCAGACGATTGGGGTTTACCGACTTTCAGGACTTGCCTGTCGTCTATATTCTTGGAAAAATACTATCAGTTTCGGAAACTGGATCTGTTTCCATCCTCAGGCGAAAAGATGGGGACCTCTTAGTTCTTTCTAAAACCCCCAGGTGAACAGGAACCTACTAACCGGTTCACATAAGGACGGCAACACATGCAGTTTCGGCAACTTTTTTTAAAATACTTTATGGTG